ATAAATATGAATATAAATATGAGTGAAATATTATCTCTTATAGCATAGAAATAATTTAAATGAAAAGAAAATCGTCTAAGTGTCCAACCTCTATTAATTATCCATGTAGTTCAAATATCACACAAGAACCAACGAAATCGTAGAGTGCTAGTTCTAATCATTTTGTGTAGTTAACTTTTCTCCAAAAATAATTTAGAGTAATTTGTGCAAACCTTAAGTGAAAGAGATAGAGGGGTGGCGAGGTTTGAGAAAGAGAAAAATATTCTCTCTTTTCTTTTTTTTCGTCGTGTATCTCATTTTTTATTTTTCTATGCTGCCTCTTTCTCCTTTATTTATATAAGGGTGGTAATCGCTCTTTGCGAGTCAATGAGATGTTACTCGTATGGGCTTTGTTTAACTTTATCCTTATAAATCCCGAGCCTTTCTAATAATGCTCAAGTTTATCCTTCTATCAAAATATTTTACATGTTTTTAAATTAAGCATATTGGGTCAAACTCTTTTAGCCCAATTTATTATCAATTAATTTGGATCATCAAAATAAACTAGATCAAGTATTTTAATGTAACATTTGTTTCTCAACGGTGAAGTAAGACTAAGCTCATAAGCTTATTATTCTAAGTCAAAACAAGTTGATATGATCCTTTTTTTACCCCCGCATCCCTCTTGCGTGATGACATAGGGACATAAAAAGGAAAGAGAGGGATAAGGTTTCTCTAACTTTGAGCATAGTAAGCCCCCAACGAAGGCCCGAATGACGGGCTATTAGGTTAGTGGTAGAGCACGTCCACGATAATTATGTCATTATGCTTGGGTTATGAGGGATCTCGACCACATGGATAACTCAATGTGCTTACCAATGCTTGACCACGAGATGTGGATCATCTAAGGCACGTTAGCATGGCGTACCTAAATTAGAAAACTAGTTTTATTTTTAGGTAATTATCTTTCAAATTTGGAATTGACTTTTAAATTAGGAAATTGATTTTTTAAATAAGAAACTAACTTTTCAAAATAGAAAACTTTCCAAAACGAAAACGTTTTCCAAATCTTTTCTTCTCTTTTATCGTGTGAATATTTAAAGTTATGCCTATGACTCAATAGACTCCTAGATATGTTAATAATGTATCAAAAAGATAAAAGATATATCTTTTATCTCTTGATACATAAATAAAGATTGGCCTCTAGCTAGGCATCATAACTATCCAATTTTCTAAGAGGATTAATTAATTTTTAATTACCTTTTACGAGCATGGTTACTACATAATTTATTCCTTGTGTTAATTTATCATAATATGATCTCAAACTTGGTTTATTGTCTATTCGATTATGATCATAAAAGTTTTCTTCGATCGCAAATATCTTAGTTCTAAAATAAACTAACTATGCTCTATTAGTATACTTTCACCGTGGTCATAGATTTCTTGAGTAGACATTCATTGAAATGCAATATGATAACTCCTTTAGCATATGAGAAATGACATATCCTATCTCAATCATCCACCTATCTCAATTAGATTCCTAATACACCCAATGAATCATCTATATGTAGCTCTTTATCGAGCCCATTAAAATGAATATCAAAGTACATTAATTTTCTAATGAGATAATCGTGATGACTTCAAGTCAAAAGACTAATTATACCCATCTCGTATGAGATTTTCATAGACTAAACCAAATGAGTTCTCATGACGAGTCATGTCCAATAATATGTTCTCTAACGTTGATCACTTAAATGCTTATTTTAACATCATCATGCCAATAAATGATATGTTCTCGTATGTGAAATGTTTATTTACTCATTTGTTCCCGATCTAAATTAACAAATTTACGTAGATTATTTAAAATGGAATGGGTTAAATATGTACTAATTTTTACAATACACTTTGGCAAGCTCTTGTAGCACCTTTCCTTTTGGCTTATCATCAACTTCACTTTGAGTCTTTATATGTTCTTGAATATCTACACCACAAGACAACTTGATGAGCTTATACTCGATAAGTGTAGTAATTTATGTATGTCATGGACATGGCTAGCCATTTTCTTGAATCCATACACTTGATTTTATCTTTGGAAACCACAAAGATGTTGGAAATCATTTCATGATGTGAATGCAAACAATGGCATGACATGTAATGGTGGAAGTAACTTTCTTATGATTTTAGATAACGATGATGTTCCTTCCTTTCAACCCTTCTTTCACTATGTTTAGTTATTTCCTTTTTGGTAAAATACTAACTTGATCTATTCCGGCAAGAAGGTCTACATATGTAATGGTGCGAAAGTCTTTGAAGGTGATGCACGTAGAGTTGCTTGTTGTGTTACGAGCATTGGTAAGAGTGTGGTCAAAGATCTTATTTACTCTTTCATCGATATATATATATATATATATATGCTTTTATTAATATTTTAATATGTCATTATAGTTAGAGAATATTGATTGGTGGAACATTGGGATTGAAAAAATCAAATGGAGTGGAATGTGTTTGATTTTTCTAATTGTCGACCATGAAAAAGGTCGAAGATAGAGAAGTGGGAGGGTTAAGGATTGACTTTTTGCTCAACTTCCTACATATGGCACCACCGATGTGGTCGTGGTCCTCGGATTAAGATTAGTAGTGAGATGGCTTCCAATCTAGGCTGATTATGCAATGGTTATAACTCTAGGTATGGTGATTTAATAGGAAATACTTGTAAAGCAAGTCCTCTTTTGGAGTTTAAAGGACCCTTCGATGACTAATTTAGCTTACAAAAAAAGTATTTGGCCTAAGTAGGCTTTAAAAAAATTGGCTTTTAGATGCATAAGACAATTGGTTATATCTTTTTTCTTTTTTAGGTTAAAAGGCGGAACCTTTAATGTTTAGCTTGTTAGTCTTTATATAGAGGGAGACGATGGTCGACTTGCATGGAATGCAGGGATGTATTGGTCTCTTCCTTTATGTTAAACACTCTTGACATCTACTTAAAGGTTGATGATCTTTTTAAGCGATGATCATTATCTAACAATACATGTACAATCATAGTTGGTGATAATGTAACCTCGAACATTTTAGGTTACCACGTCTTTATTTAATGTATGTCTTTTTAGTCTAACAATTTGGAAGAAATGGTATCTTTTTTATTCGAGTCATTCCTCTGTATTGATTATTTGGGTTTAACTCGATTGTGATGTCTCTTGCGGATGGTCGAATTTGTCTTAACTAGATGAATTTATAATGATATAGTCTTTTAGTGGAGTAACCGAATTTAATAAAATATAAAACTTCTTCATTTCCTATCATTATAATTTTTTGACGTTTCATAAATGCGTTCCATCTAAAGAAGTTAAATAAATAACTATTCATTAACATATTCTAAGCAAATATTTGTATTCATATTCTATTGGATCTCTATTCCTTGCTTTTTCTCCAACTATATTTTGAAAATTCTACTTATTTTTTCTAGCTGTAAAATTTCATACAATTACAATATCATAAAATGTTTTATAAACATGGTGTATTTCATGGATTTTTAAACAAAATATATTTATATTTCTTAAGCCTTTCATATAAGACAATATATAAGATCGCTAAATTTAGTATTAAATTTTGTTTCATAGAAATATTGTATTCGATTACATCTTAAATTAATTTACTTTATGAAACCTTATACAAATTATTTTTGTTTTCAGACATTTATAAGCTTACAAATGAGCTTATTCGCAAGCCTTTAAATGAATTTGTTTATAAATTTAAATTTAGAGTCTAATTAAGCCGACTCATGAGTTTTAATGAGTAAAACTGACCCGGTTATATAACAAGCATTAAAAATATTTTTTTTATAAGTTCATTATATATTAAGAAACGACTTTAAACCAAACTCTTAATGAATCAAACTTCAAACAGCTTATAAGCACTTCTGTTTATTTGCAGTTCTACTATTTAGTTAATGTTTGATTTGCTTTCAAAAAATAAGCACATAAGACTTTTTTAATATAATAATAAATAAATAAACGTTTTGTTTTTTAACGAAAGCACGGCACTCCTTGCTTTTAATCATACGCAAAGCACTTTATAGTGAAATCCACTATTTTCTTAAGTGAACATAAAATGTTTTAAAAGCATAAAAGCTAATTACAAATTTTGTTTTTATGAATGCTACTTTCAAATCTAAACATTTGATTGAAAAAATAGAAGAAAATTAAATAAAATGGAAGAAAAATGAGAAAATTATATGGAAGCAATACAAAGAAACATGGATGAGAAAAGGGGAAGAAAAAGAAGAGTAGCATAAGGAAATAAAAGCACATTTCGAGTATTTTAAACAGAAATAACACATTTTGCTAAAATCCTTAAACTTAAGAGACCAATTAATTATTTTCAAAACTAGAAGAACAATTAATTATTTTTGCCAAATTATAGGGACTGATAATTTACTCAAAATAGAACCTCCAACCTCCTCCAAACTGTCAAAATCACCCGCTCCTTCCAAGTAATTTCTGCAATCTCTATGGAACATGGACAAGAGGACAAACATATTTTGCTGAGACTCAAAAATTTAAATTCAAACTGGGAACCCGCTGTCCATAGTGTTCGCTGTAGAGATATTGACTTGACGTCCATTCTTTGTACCAAAAACCTAGACATCTTTTTCACTCATATATTTCACTTTGAAACCATCGCTCCGAACAATGTGAGACACATAATTTCCTTCCCTTATATTAAATACCATTTTGAATTCGTCCACTCCAATTATCCAAGTTTCCTTCTCCGACTTTCTGATGACAAGTGCAAGCCCCACTTTATTTATTTTTTAATTATAGTATTAAAGTACGTGTTGTATTGGTCATCACACACGTTTGTTTTCTTTCCTCAGGATTAGTTAGAGTAGCCCTGATGTAAAGAATAACGATCCATTTCTTTCCTTCTTAGCTGCTCTGATTTTTTTCTTTTTTCTCAACTCATAATAATACTCTCAATTCTGAATCATGTCTATCTTGAGCAAAAGCAGTAGCAACAACAACATGGGTACACCTTCTTTCCATGAACTTAAGAAGCAAGCTTCTTTCTTCTTCAAGGAAAAGATCAAGAGTGCTAGATTAGCTCTAACTGATGTCACACCAGCAGAACTGTAATACTTCTGTTATTTATGGTTTAAACTTTCAAACCCAGTAGTCTAGTGGTGATTTATTTCATCTAGCAGAAGCAAGCTTGGCTTGATATTGCTTATATTATGTCTTTTTGATCTGGGTTATATGTGTTTTCTTGATGAATAATATTTGGAAGGTTGACTGAAGAAGCCACAAATGGGAATCCATGGGCACCAGACAACCCTACCCTTGGATCCATTTCAAGGGCTGCTTTTGAAGTTGATGATTATTGGAGAATTGTGGAGATTTTGCACAAGAGGTTGTCGTTTCTGGTTTCCAGATTTTTTCCGTCAATCTTTGTTTTATCTTTTTCATGAGTTGACTTGCATGATCTTGATACATACTTCGCTTATTTGAATCTTTTGGCCAAGTCAGATTCTCGAGATTTGAGAGAAAGAACTGGAGGCCCTCTTACAACTCCCTTATTGTACTTGAACACTTGTTGACTCATGGACCAGAGAGTGTGGCAGGGGAGTTTCAGATTGACAAAGATGTTATTAGGGAGATGGAAAGCTTTCAGTTTATAGATGAGAAAGGGTCTGCGATTTCTATTTATAGTTGTTTTTCATATTTCTCTTCTCAATTCTCATGGCCTTTAGATGTATAGTGATCATGTGTTACATTCATTTTTTGGCTTTGTCGTCACAATTCATGAAAAATATGTGCAGATTCAACTGGGGTCTCGCTGTTAGAAAGAAATCAGATAGAATATTGAAGCTGCTTGAGAAAGGACTTCTTCTCAAAGAAGAGAGAGAGCGAGCTAGGAAGGTGACTAGAGGGATTCAGGGATTTGGGAGCTTCTGCCACAGGTCTTCATCAGCGCAAGGCATTCTACAGGAATCATCTAATGAAACATTTGGAAGGAGTAATTCTCAGTTCAATGATTCCTGGGAAAATCAGTTCTTATCCCCGAAAGAAGAAAATTTGATCCAAACTGCTGAAACATTTCAGAAGACCCACAAGGAAGCAAATTCTGAGTCCGGCAAAAGGACGGTGAATCTAGATGTTTGGGATAGTGTCAACAATTGTCAGATGCTTGAGAAACCTGGGACAAGTCTTAAAGAAAACTTGGCTCCTAAGAAGGAAGTAGTACATCAATGGAATGGCACAGGGGAGGCTAATCCACTTTTGGCTAGTAGGAGAGATGAACCAAGGACTATAGAGGAAGATCACCCCTTTAGTGACGCTGAGAACCAACTTGCTGCTTCGCTTCTTTCGGCGAGAGATGGCATCCTGCAAGGATGTTAGGATTTCAATCTATAGCAGACAACACGTCTGCACATTTCTTTGTACAATTAGTCAGTGGCTAAGGTTTATTCCTGTCATACTTGTTGCGGGTTTGATAATTTTATACCACACAGAAGAATCAGGCGAGCATTGCATTTCTGTTATGTAATGTATAATGACATAACAATTGTGTTTGTTCAGCACTTTGTGAAACACTTATGAACTGTTTTGCTTTTGATCAAGACTTCGATACTAGTTAGGGAAATGCACTAATTCCCTTACAGACTCCTAGTTCCATGGCCAGATATGTTTGCATCAAAGATGGCTAACATTTCAGTCAGAAGCTTCAAATTTCTTAGACATCTATAAACATCCAGCTTGAATAACCATGGTTTTCAGGTTTAATTGACTTGGCTGGAACAATTCTGGACAAATAATCAAACACAGTGGAATTTAGCTCATCTAATTCAGCATTTAAACACTCCCTGCTGTTTTCCATGCAGCGATTTCTATTATATACACGGTGAAGCAAGGATGGCCTAAAATGCAATCTATACAAACAAGATTACAAAGCAATATAATTGAATGCATGGGATTTTAAGATTTGCAAAGCCAGCCTTGAATGGCAAGCCGCAATGCATGGTTCGGAGTAAGATGCAGGTGACTTAATCTCAAATTGGTCATTGGAGATGTTTCACGGCCATTTGCCAGCCATCCAAGCAAGGCTTCTCCTTCATACGTGAACCCATCAGCTGCCACCTGAGGGTCGTGCATAATTTCCTGAAAGAAAACCATCTGATATGTAAACCAAATAGAGCAAAATACAACACCTCACTAGTCACTCCTGCTCGTGGTAATCAGAATGCTTGGTAAAAATTGCACTTTGGAGGACTGATTTTCCAACTCAAAATGACAAAGAGCCTGTAAGTAACGATGAAACCAAGCCTATGCATATTCCTACCTGGAAAATTAAATAATTGCAGGAAAGAGGTATGGGGAAGGGGAAGAAAGGGTGTGTGTCTGTTGTGTAAAACGTAGTGTACAATCATGTTATTCTCACTTTCACTATACATGTGTGCAATCTTACCTGAAGAATAGGGCACAAGAAGAAAGATGGCACCGGTCTCTCCTCTGAAACATGCAACTGTTCCAATTCCCTCACCAGTGTAGGCGTTAAGTCTGGTCTATCCCTACTGCTCAATTCACAGAACTGCAAGCTCAAATCCACCAATCTCCTTGCCACAAACATTGGCCATTCTCCAGCTGATGGATCCAAAATTGAGGCTAATTTCCCATATGATATTGTTCTACGTACCTCACCTATCAATCCAACAGGTGGCTTCCCGGTCAGTAGCTGTAGAATGATCACTCCAAAGGCATAGATGTCAGACTTTGGTGTCAAAACTCCAATTCTTGGGAACTCTGGATCTGTGTACGGAAAGGAACCCTTTGGCTCAGTACTATGAAAACTTGGGCAATAAAGACTGTCCTCTGTTACCAGCCTGCAAATTCCAAACTCACATATCTTGCAGCTAAGTTCAGAATTTAGTAGGATGTTTTGTGGTTTCAGATCACCATGGATGATCTTTTCAGGTTTGGAAGAGTGCAGGAAGCAAAGGGCGCTTGAGATTTCAGCTATAATGCGTGTTCGAATCTGCCACGTCAAAGGGGAAATGTTGCTTTTCTGGAAAAGGCGGTCTTGGAGGCTCCCATTGGGCAAGTACTCGTATACAAGAGACCATGCTTCTGGACATGCACCTAGCAAAGTCACCAGATGAGGATGCTGTAGCTTGCCAAGAACTTGGACCTGGTTAAATAAGTACTAAAGGTTATTTCCAAGCTATGATGCAAGATAAAAGGTGCAGGGCAATTAAGTCAAAGCAATGCAATTTTAGCATTTCTAGATTCTGAATCAGATGGTTTAGTCACTGTCTGATGGACTACCACATTATTCTGAATCAGATTGCTAAATACTGCCCATTGTTTGCTGACCTTTTCAGAAAACAAACTGTGACAATTATATCAAACAGTGAATTTGTCCAAATAATTGTCAAATACCCAGAGATACTCAAAGCATGTGGGTTATCATTTTAAAGAATTATTAGTAACATTTTCTAGTCATGGCCACAAGACGCTCCTACCATAACCATATACGATGCCTCTCTCTGCATAGATTAAAAGAGAGAGGGAGAGAAGAGAGCCCTAACCTCTTTTTGAAACTCTGATTGCCCTTGCATGTTGTTTGGATGCAGCATCTTTATCGCAACAGTTCTACCCAACATTTCCCCCTTGTAGACACAACCACAACCTCCCTGACCAAGTTTAAAGCTCTCAGAGAAGTTGCATGTTGCAGTTTGCAAATCAGACAGAGAAAATTCAGCTAACTCGGGCAACTCTTCTGTGATTCCAAGAAACCCGTTGCAGTTTGCAGCTGCTGCTTGCCCAGGGCTTCTCCATCGCTCAAGCCAATGCACAGCTCCCATTTTCTGCCGTCGGATCCTCTGCTTTTCCTGCTGCAGAGACGAAATGGATTTTTGAATGAGTTTCAATTCTCCAGCAGCTTCCTCACGCCTGCGATTTGCTTCCCGTGCACGACTGTCTAGAATAGCTACATTTCTCATGGTCCTCTCTAACTTTCTGGCTACTTCATCTTTCTCTTCCAATAGCTTTTCTTCCTCATGTATTGTATTATCGAGTGCATCTTCAGCTTCTTTTCTAAGTTTAATTTCATGTGCATGAGAAGATTCAAAGATTTTGACCTGATGAAAAGAGAGGAATTAGATTCTCTCTCCAATGAAAACAAACACAGCATATACAAAAGCCAGCCACAAGGAAATGACTAGGCATAAATATTTTTTACTAAATCATGTGTTGCTTAAATCTTCAAATCAGTAGCACACTCCCCTAACTTAGCAGCCCAAATAAGTATATTGGACAAAAAAGAATTGTGGGTACAATCTTGGACTACTTGCCAGATTCCATGATGTGAATTTATATAAAGTTACCGCAACTAATTTGAAAAGGCAAGGTATGGAGACACACTAAAGAAGAATACTGAAACATTACTGCCTGTCTTTTTAAAGCAATTTTTCATCTGATTGCCCGTATGCAAAGAAAAGAATTTTGAAATTTTACAAGATAAAAGTGAAAAAAGTGTATTGTGAATCCCAAGTTTTCTTTTCTTGATCACTTATTGACCTGTTTTCCTTACAGTTGATTCAGTAAGCAAGTCCAGACCTCTAGTGTGAGGATGCACAAAAAATGTTGAAAGTTTCTACACAGATGATCCAGAGTGTATGCTCTGTGGAGTCAGAATTCAGCCACATGATCTACAAATCAAAACTGGAAATGAACCAGGAATACTAAAGTCTGGTTACCTTGCTGATAGCTTCCATAGCTTCTAGTTCCAACCTTTTGCACTTCAACAACTCTTCAAACGCTTCATTACCCAGTGCTTCTGCTTCTAACCTCACTTCTTCAATGTGAGAATATGAGCTTTCTTCCTCCACTTTTGAATCAGAACCTGAAGACACTCCTCTTTCAGTGGACGTGCATCTTAAAGCACAACTTCTACTTGTTGGACTAAATGAACTCTGGAGAGGACGGCGGGAACATGAATTGTCAGAACTATATATAGTTGGCAACAGTGATTCTGCACACGGTGATTCATTATGAGAAAAATCACTAATTCTGGCACAAGTTATTCTTGCAGCAGAGTTTGACTGAAGATGCTTTGTTGGGAATGGCAAGTTACTATTGCTATCTTGTAAAGATTCAGATCGTAGAATTTCAGAACTCGTACTCTCAGCATGACCCCATGGTAGTAGAGAATTTAATTTTTCAGAAGCTTTTCTTGTCCATAAATGTTGCCCTTTGTTGATAAACCATATCTCACAGAACAAGGGAGCATATTTTGCAGCATAGTTTACTTTGCTGGAGCTCTTTTTGACCTTCATACAGCTGTACCGAACCATTAAGATTGAATACAACCAAAAATATATATATGTCCAATAAATAAACAAAAGAACATATAAAGCTCCCAGTAGAACCCATTACATCCAGTATGTAAAACAGTAACAGGAAAACAAAGTTTGTGCTGAGAAAATACAAGTCTGCTGGTGGAAAGTTGCTACATAGGCAAGACGATAAGTAAGGTATTACTATCCTGTTCTGAAGCTGACTTCAACATTCGAAAAAACGAGTAGTCTTTGACAGAGTATGTGTATTTGTCTTAAGAGATGATAATGTGTTACAGTTTTACTTTCAAATCTATTGGTGCATGGCTTACGGATTTGACAAAAATGGAACTACACACAAAGACAGGTGTTGCACTGCTGGAATAAAAAAAAGCATTTTCACAAAAGAAACACTTCATGGAGACCACCCAAAAACTAGAAAAAGTGATTGTGATAACAATGGTGAGCTACTTACTTTTCAGTTACAGCCCCCATAACAAGCTTCCTGACGCCATGTCTGTTCACCAATTCTACAATCCCCTTATGAACTTGGTCACTTTCAATAGTAATAATAGTTGCTTCAACCTGCACAGTGAGCATTTTCCCTGAGATGATTAGCGAAAGGAAATAAATGTCTGTAATGAAGAATCATTCAACTGGTTACTGTTCATGCAGATGCATTAGAGTAATACTATGACAAAATCAAGTTGCCATTAAACTCAAAACAAAATCCCTAGAACAGGTTTGACAGCAGGGTCAAAGGCAAAGCTGCATTTTTTAACAGCACAGGTAAACCAGGAAGGGTACCATCCTATCTTATAGTCGAGTGACATGAAAATCACTTTCCAGGCAACATTAAAATATCATTCTTCTACATTTACAGAGACGTGGTTTGGGAGACAACACACCTTTGCTCTATGGCAAATGATCAAGTAATAATCTAAAAGTTTCTTTGTCTGTTCATTCTCCTCCCTTCTAAATGCCGACACTACTTCAGCATTTGCTTGACTTGCTGGAAGTTTTCCCACTACAATAAAAATCCCAACAATAAAAGTTAACGGTAAATCTTGAATCCAGGAAGCTTTCTAAAAATAACCGAACGAACAACAACAATTGAAGACGAAACGAGATAGAAATTGAATTGAACAAACATTTCAAGAGTCGAGTGCAGTGTATAGAACAATAAACAAAGGGAGATAGAGAGTTTACAGAGAGTAGGTATCAGAGGAGAAGGGCGGTGAACGTGAAGTAAAAAAATTTGTCTGATTCCAAAGCTTTTGAAAACCCAGTTGAGCAAGCTCACAGCTTTCTCCAAAGAATTCCCTACAGCCACATACACTTTTTCGCTGCTAACTTCTTCAACAATGTCGGGCAACTGAGGGCTCAACATCCGGTTAGGCCCGACCGCGAACCACCCAGAATAAGAATTTGGCCTCGGGTTGTGGTGGGGCGAGTGGGTTGGATTTAGAAGCTCCGTTTTGTTGGAGAGGCTAGAGAGAGAGAGAGAGAGAGAGAGAGAGAGACAGCTAGAGTTTGGTAATAGAAATTTCTTTTCTTTGTGTGAGTCGCGCGATTTGGTAAGAGAGGGCAAATCAAAAGTGAGATTTTGTGGACTTGGAATTTTATGATTTTCTTCTTTTTTTATTTTTTCAGTGTCTGTCGGTTTCCCAGAAATGATGGTATGCAATGGACTTTTGAATTGACTTATTGGAGAGAGAAAGAAAAAGGGACGTAAGTAGGAGGAAAGAAAGAATAACAGGATTGACTGGAGTTTAGGAGGAGAATACTTGGGTATTAAACTGAGGATAATTTCACTATAAATATATTAATTTTTAATATTATTGCATATCAGTATATGAATTTTAATTATTTTTTATTATATTAATTTTTCAAAACCATTAAATATTTTTTTAATTTTTTTTAACTGATAATGTATCTGTTATTTTTAAAATACCATATTATAATTTTTTTTTATTTCTCAATCAAATATATGGATTTTAATTTATTTTTTTCATTTGAATATACCAATTTTTTTCAAAATCACAAATCAAATATTTTCTTCAATTTCACTGTTAAGTGATAAAGTGTCAATTATTCTTGAGATATAAAATTATAATTTTATCCTCTTTTTCTTTGAGAGAAATTTCACCCTAAGTTAATCCATTATTTCAAAATTTGAGAAAAATAATTAAAAAAAACATTATTTTTTAGCTAGAAAATCACGAATTAAACACAATTAAGTTTAGACATGAAAATTGAAAGAAAACGCAAACGTGAATTTTTTTATTAACAAGATCCTTTAATTATGAGCGTTTGTGAGGAAAGTTTCCTAAAAACAAAACAAAGAGGATAAAATTATAATTTAGCATTAGTATATTAAGGGTAACTAAATCAATTAAAAGAAAAATTGATATAGGTACTTAATTGATAATTTTGAAAAAAATTAGAGCATTCAAATGAAAAAAAAATTCATGTATTTGATTGAGAAAAAAAGAGTACAATTGTAATTTAATATTATGGAACCGACAAACACATCATCGATTAACGAAAAAATGATGAAGGTATTTAACCGATAATTGTAAAAAAAGTTAGTATATTCAAGTAGAAAATTAAAATTTATGTATTTGATTAAAAAAATTAAAAATTTATATACTTTATAATGTAATTTGTCTTTATAAACTCGAGATCGTATGGTCTATAAATTAAAAGTTTTACATTTTGGACACAACATTGGTATGATGTATTGTAATGTAAATGAATGGATCATCTAATATACTGGCATTGAATCAATCCATTACATTTTTTGGTTTAGCTGTAAAATTTTACAGTAATGTAATGAAATTAAAATTAAAATTAAATAGGAGGTCATATCAAAAGAAAATTAAAAAGAAAGCTCTTGACAGTTGTTAACATATTAAAAACATCAACTTTTAGCCCAACCTGATTCTCGAATCGCTTCAATGTAGGCTCGCCCAGCCTCACCTGTAAGTGTTTGGGGCTCGATCAAGCTGGACCCTCCAAACCCAACATGACTCCTAGTGCGGTGGTGCCTAAGCCTATCGATTATCGAGCACGTGCCTAACATCACGAAACTCGACTCCTAATACTATAAACTCAGCCTAAGCCAATCAAGTTATACTAGACCTAGCGCACCCTCAAAAGTCAGGCCCAACTAGCCTAGTCTGGATCCTAGTGTTCGGACATGAAAGGCTTCTAATATTGGGGTCCATCCCGAACCTCGGCACCTTAAAACAGACGCGGCCTCAACATCTCAAACCAAATCCAACTCGAACCTCGGGTGCTAAAGACAGGTTTAGCCCCATTCGAACACTCACCACCCAAAGTAGGGCCCCACGTTTATTATGGAACCGAACCTAGATCGACCCTTAAGCCCCAGCCGCGTCCGCATCTTCGATGCCCTAAACCAAACCAAACTTGACCTAGCCCCTCGTCAACGTCCTGGAAGCGGCACGACAGCAAGCCCGCTCTAGCTTGACCCAACGCATAAACATCTTAAATGACTTGAGCCACCATACCCATGAGGGTCTCGTATGTTCCAATCTAATCCTCTACCCAAATCCGGACGATGGCTAAATCTTAAACGCTTCAAACCTATTCGAGGTCGATCCTTAAACTCTCTGTACTTGTCCAACCAATTATAAAATGTTGTTTGGTAATAAATAATGAAATAGTAGTAATGAGAATTAATTTTTTATTATTACCTTTGTAGGCACTTAATTGAAAAAAATAAAATAAAAATTTATACTTAGTTTTTCCATAGGTGGAGGTGGAAATAAAATCAAGCAAGGAGATGAGATTTTTTTTTTTTTCAAAATAATGATGTATTGTTTTTATGTATTGTGTATAAATAATTTTTACCTTTATCGACATCTCCATCATTAAAACCATCACCACGACAATAGTGATAAAAAAAAATTAATTTTTTTTTTATTATTATTCCCACCACTCCTCCTCCATCATAACCATTATTTTTATAAACATTAAATTTTTTTGGCTAAATTGGTCAAACCTCTCTTGAACTTTAGTATATTTAAAAATTAGTTCTTAAACTTCTAGTTTCGGGTTTTGCCTCCCCCAAACTTTTTTTTTTTTTATGTTTTTAGATTTAATATTTCTTTTAGTTTTCTATATATATATAAAAAAGCATAATTGTCACTTAAATAACTCCATGTTAAAAATCATCCAAGTAAGATATATCTAAAACTTTCTAAAAAATTGAGATTATTATAGATTTTATATTTTCTATATTTTTAATATTAAAAATATACTTTCTAATATTGAAAAATTCTAGAATTTTTTTAGAAAATTCATTGGATTTTTTGCAATGCGTGTGCATAATGTCAAGTCAAAATATCAAGAATTGAATATTTTGTAGATAGGAGAGTGAGAAATTACACGATGGACTAAATCTAAAAAATAAAGTTCAAGAAAAGTCAAATCAAGTTTAGAAATTGATTTTTAAATGAACTAAACTTCAGAATTGGCCCATTTAGCCAAAATTTTCATAAAAATAAATTTAAAAAATCTTATTTTCAATATTATATTTCCAAAAAAAAAATTAGATATAAAATAATTAATTAAAGCAATAAATAATTTATAATTAGCTATAGAAACTATAAACTGTACCATAAACATTTTCTATACGTTACCTTATGTTGTTCTTAGGACACAAAAGAAAGATAATTGAATAATAAAAATTAGCTTAATAAATAAATAAATTTATCATAAATTAAGATGGACAAAAGAATTGAAACTTTTTACTTGATTCGTAAAAAAATTTAGGATTAAAATCACGTTACTATGTGTCATGGTATAAAGATGACGAAACATCAAAATAGTTTTATCATAATTTTTAGGTGATTGACTCAAGGCACAATCAAGTTGCTTTCTTAAGATGGTATGTGCCATCCGCATAATTTATCCGATGCAACGAATAAAGAATATATTGTATGCCATCTCGGGAATACAATAAGCTCAATCATTCTGTCGTGTCTTAACAAATTTGTAATATTTGTAAGACTTAAAACCCTAAAAATAATAACACCACTCTTAACCGGAGATAAAACAAATAAGTATCATATGATTTTATCGTGAGATTAAAAAAACAATTGAAAGAAATATTTTTCTTTATAACGGAATGATGCTCTACTTTTCGCTAAACAATAGAATACGAATTTTGCCATATATTTTTTTCCTTTTTTTTAAATTCTAGTACACATAGCATAAGGAAAAGGTTTGGGAAGAAATAATTGCAATCATTAAGTGCAATTAATTATTGTAAAAACGATAAAAAAAAATTCTTTTATAAATGATGTAACTATTTGATAATTTTTTAAAATAAATATAGATATTATAATCATAACAGTTTAATGTACCTTATTAACCATACATGGATTACTTTATTATTGTTGTTATTTAATAATAATAAGTATAGTATTCTATATTTTGTTAAAAAATAATCCAACACCTTACATGCTAACCATGCTTTATTTTTATGAAACAAATTGAAGTTGTATATATATAATTGATATTTTTATTTTATCGTTCTAATGAATAATATTATGTGAGGTTTTGAACGAAAATGAACAAAATTTAAGGACTTTTTTTTCAAAAAATAAATCATCAATATTTTTTAATATATATATATTAAACGTAACGGAATAAACAAAGGCTAATGAAGTTGTTGACTGGCTTGCAAACATTGCTTTTAGGTTGGAGCAAGTCGTGTCCTTTATAGACAACTCCATTGCTTTGTCTTTCTTTGTCGTGGGATGATGCTGCAGGTTGTTTAAGTTCCTCGTGTTTTTGTGCAGTGTAGTTGGTAAAACCCCTTCTTGCAGCCAAAATAATGATTATAATAATAATAATAATAATAATAATAATAATTCAATAAAATTAGAAAGGAAGCAGGCTAGCTGTTCTAGGTTTGCGAAGGTGGGGCCGGCATGCCATGCCTGAGCAACTGGGCTGGCTAGCTGCGCTGGGTGGCAACCAGTGAGCAATATGAATATACTTATATCATAGAGACTGCAATGTTAGAATGTGTTAAAAGAAAAATCACTTAATTTTTTCTGACACAGCAGCGCGGTTTTGTCACCCCCATTTGCCTGAAGGAGGAGTGTTTTCCCTCTCTCTTTTAATATCAAATCAATGAACGAGCAATTTATGTTGGTATGATTCAGAAGTATTGGGGATAGAGGATTTAAAATATGCATCTACATCAAATCAAGACCTAGATGAGATTTTACACTTGACTAAATAATATTTTATTGTTCTTTGATAATTGCTTGACGAGTGTCATTTTTGCACTCACGGATACAGATTGTATCAATTTGATTGATTTCGCTTGCAAAGCTAAAAATCGTTCAAATCTCTGTTGACTTTATGTATATGTCGTCATCTATGGGTCATCTATGTCCACATAATGAAATAATATGATTAGAAGAGTTTTAACCAAATTTTTCAGTACTACTATAGGTTTCTTACGCGAAGAAAAAGAACAAACGTTTTCCTCTTGGCAACTTATAGTCAAATAAGGGGCCGGCACGGCAGGCCACGATCATTTTAGGGTCTCAAATGGTCATTTACTCTTGGTGGAAACCAACACTAAATGACCAGGACTTGCCGGCCCCTTGTTTGACCAGAACTACAAATATGTATAGATATTTGTTTGAACTGTCAAAGGATCTTTCGTTACTGAGGCAATCTGGATACAAAAAGTCCATCGAATCCGTTGAAAGATCCTTTGACAGTTCAAACACACATATATATATATATATACATAGACACACACAAAACAATACAATAAAAGTATTGTTTTGAAACTGTTGTTAATAATTTTATTTTATTATTTATTTATTATTTATTATTTTTATTTTTACAATTGGTTTCAAGATATACAATAACAAAAAAAAAAAAAAAAAAATCTCTTGGTTTTTTTTTTTTTTTGGTCTTTCTTAGTCTTTAAAAAACTATATAATTCTATTTTTTCTTTCTTTAGATAAAAATGGTATTATATATTTTTGAATTTCAAATTTTACGAGTACAGACTTGTTAAACATAGCAAATTAAGTGATTGAATTTATTACATCTTTAAGATGGTATACAACACCTAGAAAATTTATAAAGCTATTTTGGCTGTTATTCGTTCATAATTTTTCATTTAATATCCTTTTTTTTTTCCCAACATAGCCAGTATGCAGCTAAATTACACTGTGTACAAACATAGAGCAGAAGCTATACATTTATGAATCACTTGCATCTATTAATGGGGGCCTTGGTTTATTACATCAAATTAATCAGCTATCAAATTTACCATAAACGAGACTGATCTCTCTCTCTCTCTCTGCAATTACATTATCGCTAGGTGATTAAATAGAATATTATTGGTATGTCAGAAATTGTACTCTCTCCTTTCACGTATATATAAAATTCACTACGAAATTAATTTTATTTACGAGTCTCAATTTTATATGAAGGAAAAAATTACAACTCTCCCAGTAAGTTGAATTAATAATGTTTTGTGATTAAAAAAATAATATTGTTGGTATTGTATATCACAAAAACCTAATATTTAAAAACGATGGGAGCATGCGCGGGAACTACAACCCCGGCCAGTCGCGTTAGATAACAAAAAAGGGCGGGAAATTAGAGAGAGAGAGAGAGAGAGAGAGAGAGAGAGAGAGAGAGATGATGGAGATATCCGGAAAGTAGGAAGACGAAGGATAGGAAAATGGGAAGAGATGATTGTTAGAGATGGGACATGATGATCGGAGATGGGAAGCAAAATCATTAAGCATGAGCATGAGATGCAATTATGTGGCATGAGAGTGTGTGTTCACTTTTCATGCATTTTAAGTGTCGTACCCCACATTATCATACCCATCTTCACTCCTAATCACAATATGCAACATAATTTAGCACATAAGCAGGAAACAACCCTACATATGATAATATTAATGAAACCAAAAGTAGTTAGCTGACTGCAGGAGGTTTTGTTACTCCAGCCCTTTATTTTGGTGTATTTTCACTCATTCTCCTTTATCTTTGCAATTTGATTTTCGAGCTGTATAGATATATATTACGTTCATTAATTATATTCACAGGATTTTGCTTATCTGACGCATGAATTAAGTCTTTATATATTAGAAGTTTTAGGATTGTCTTTAATCCATTTAAAATAAATAAATAAATAATCTGTCCTATTCCAGATCATGTAAATATAATTAGAACTAAGGGTACTTAATATCACATCAGACAACTCAAAAAATTAAACTAGTTAGCATCCATGTTTTTCCATTTTTGGTTAAATTAAAATTAGAAGTTGAACAGTATTCCTATGAGTCCATGCAATTTAGTTTTCATTTCATTTTATTTTTTCGTTTTGAATATCCAACTTATTTATACAAAGGAATAGCTTATTAGATCTTCATTTTTATTTTTGTTAATATCATGAATCAATTTTATTTGATTCTCTTACTATTGTCCAGAGCACTATTAAATAACTCTAACGCATTAAATTTCAAATTATTTTTATTGAACTAGTCCATTTAATATAATATTTTTTATTCTTCTAAAAATGGTTATATAAATAGGTTGACCGTATAACCAACAAAAACATTGTATTTTTTACCATCCAGATACATTTAAAGAGATCCCACCTCATAGATATATGTAGGTACCAAAACTTAAATTGGCTTATTTTGCTTATAAAACTAGTTAATAAAACATGGACATGTTACCTCCAAAAAAATGAATGGTCCGACCTAAACTTAACGAGACTTCATTAACCACTTGAGCCAATCTCTTAGGAGAGAATAACAAAATAAGTGTGTGTATTTTGGCATTTTTTTCAGTCTAGTGTGTCAATCTTTTTTTTCAAAAAAAAAAAAAAAAGGACGTGACGACTCTCAAAATTATAATAATCAAGAAATTTTTGAAGAAGCCACATGTATGACATGGATATTAAGTGACGATGTGGCAAATGACATGGTTCAATGATATGTAAAAACAGTTTTAAAAGGAAATTTCCCTTCATTTTTCTTCTTCATTTTACTTTTTCAGAAAAAAAAAAAAACAATTCAAAAATGACGTAACCTAACATAGTAACTGAAAAGCTCTCTTCTTCTCTAACCTACAAAAATAAAAATAATTGCATATTATATTTTTTTTGAAAAAACTAAAGAAATGGAGGGAAATTTCCATTTCCATTTTTGTTTTTTGTTTTTTTTGAAAAAAGTAAAAAATGAAAAAGAAATGGAAAGAAATTTCTCTCCAGATATAGTTCATCACGTTATTATTTAATATTAATGTCATAGTTACCGTCTAATCAATTAAACAACAACAAAACAATATTTTTCATGTCATATCTAATAGTAATTTTTAAAACTTCAATTAGTTGTTATAATTTTGAAAATTTACACATTTATATGGATAAAATAAATTTTAATATATTCATGTGTAAAAAAATTCAAAATACACATATTTATAATGCTATTATCTCAATGTTTTAGGGGTTGTAATTTGGACTTCAAGAGAAAGTTTGAAGTTAAATGAATAGGGGTGAACTCCAAATGCAAGAAGATTCGGCGGCAGAGAACGAAATTAAACAAAAGAGAGAAATGAGGGGGCTACCTCAAATTGAGCAGACCTTTTATCATGGCTATTGATGTGATGAAATCCAAGCAATCCAACTGGGGTCCCCACTTTCCGCTAGGAGAAGGACAATTCGTTCAAGTGATCAATATATCGTCAATTTATCATTTGAAAGGATATACTAATAAATCCGCCAGGAGCCATGGTCTCACATAATTCATTATCTTCTATGAAGAAACGTCAATGAACTTGCCGAATCTCGTTATCTATAAGCAGCAGGAACAAAGGAATCCTAAGTTTATGAGCATGACTCCTGCAACATGAGTATGCATGGCCTGCAGCCGCAAGATTGTGGGACCCACATCTCTATAAGGTTTACTTGGAATTAAAACTATTTAAGCTAGAGGGAAAAACCATGAGAAAATTTTGAAAAAAAAAATTATAACAATATAATATCAAGTTATTGCATTGGACATTGTAAATTATTCCCGAGTGAATTAATCATTCTTTTTTTTTCAAAATTTATTATTCGGTCACTGTATTTTAAAATTTTATTGAATTTAATCATTTATAATTTACTCAGTTATTGCCTAATCATATTCTTAAAAAAAAAAAAAGAAGATATTCCCCAAATATAAAGCTTCACTATTTCTGGTTTTATAAAAAAGCAAGTAACCTTCTCTAGTATACACAGGGCTACCATGACAATGGATTAGGGGTTGAAGTAGTTGGATAGTAGTATCAGTGAAAATTTACTAGTTGATTGTGTTTTTGTAAAATGTTTATGGAAATTTCATGAACTAAAAATATTTTATTATAAATAGACTAAATTTTTAGTTTGATTGAAAAATATTTTGTGCTCAACAAATTTTTTAGAAAATGTTTTATAGAAAAAAAAAAAAGAAACTCCAAAACTTATTTTCATATAAAATGCTTTTCAGGAGGCAGTTGCGTGTATCTATCTATATATATCAAATTTAAAAGGTGGCCTTGGCCATCAAGAGTTTTATCTTGTTATCTCTTTTGGTAAAGACACGATGACATTAATGTTGTCAAACAATTTGGGTTTCTTCCCAGGTGACCTTGTTGCTCCGCCAAAAGGACAGGTCCAACATGCTTAACACGGACCGCATCAACCACCGGACAATTTGTCGTTTCGCACCCAATTTAAGAGACACCATAAGCACCCCCAAAAGAGCATTTTCTAACCATGACCAGTTTTCTTTTCCAATCAGTTTTTTTTTTTTTTTTTTTAATTGCGAGGTTAAAAAAATGGAGTGAGTAAAAGTCAATGTATGAAAATAAAATATTTGATTTTTTTTTTAATTTAATGATAAGAGTGTTTTCAAGTTAGTTTGTTGGTCAATTAAAAATAAAATTTTCATCACACGATTTAAAAATATATTTTTATATCAGAAGAGTTTAATAAATTTTTAAGTTTGATCTCAACATTTATATTTAAAGAGTAGTAGCATATTTGTTTAACCACCGTACCAATACTTTAAAATTAATATAAAATATTTGATGAAACTGACATGCAAGATTCGAAGAGGAAAAATAAAAATTAATGAAACCCACGAATTACGAGACTGGAGTTAATTTCTAAAGGCAAAATGTTGCCACTTGAGAGTGAAAAGTTATGGTTCATACATCATAGTTCTTTACCCTCCCTTGTATTTTCTAAATACGTCACCCCCTATCATACACCACCTTGTAAAAAGATTAATAAAATAAATACTAAAGACAAAGAAAGCAAAATATACAATATTAAGTTGCCCGTGTAGCAACTGTATGCTTAAATTTATGTGGTTAGATAACTTCTAATAACTTTTCTGTTGCATCCCCAAATATTGGTACTTTTCGAGCATAAATTAATTAAACTATTTTTTGAGATATTATTAAGAATTTAAATTTTGAATTAAACAGTTTATTTTTTATACACTTGCATAAATTGCCCCGACCAATATTTGATTAAACAATAATAAATATTGATTAATCAATACAAAATCACATAAAGTTATTAGGACACTGTGTGCATGAAAGAAGATTATAAAAGCTGCTTCTATATAACATTATATAGAGCGTTTTCCAGGTGCTGTGGTACAAAGTAATAACCATTGCATAATGGTCGTTGTGGCTATTAAACTTTAAGAAAGTATTTTGAAAAATTTATCATTATTTTTTCTTAATTTATGTTGTATGTTCACAATTAATAATCGTGGTAAAAAAAATCATTGCATAATGTTAACAATCGTTATATTACAATCATTAGTGACTGTTAGACTTTAAGAAATTATTTTTAAAATTTTTTCATTATTTTATATGTTCACAATTAACAATTAATAATTTTATATTAATCATAAATATTAACATTTATATATTGTTTATACTATTTAACTATATATATTTATAGAAGTTTTGAGTTTCAAATATTCTACAAAAATGAATATAGTCTTGATCATTATATAATGCCTACAACAATTCACTAGACCGATTCTAATTATTTATTCGTGGCTGTGGCTTATCACTCGTAAAAACCGCAATTTAAAATCATTGTGAAAAATTACTCCAGTAAGAGGGGTGCCTAGCCTCAATTGAGTTCCTAGCATATATTCTATTTCAATTTGCATCTTAAATTTATAAATTTTATCAATTAAATCCTCAACATTTCTCAAATAAACACTCTCATCAATTTGTTTTAATGTTCTCCGAGTACTTTGCATATTTCATGAAATAAAACGATGTTATTTTGGTAGAAAACTTAATAAACAATACCACAAAGACTGATTGAGAATTGTGTAAAAAGTTTGGGACCAAATTGATAAAATTTGGTTTTAGACCCAAATGAGGTTAGGACTTAGGAGAGGTTCCCAAAACAAAACATCGACTATAAGAGACGAGAAGTTGTTTCTCTATATGTAGTGATAAAATACGGCAAGAAATGAGAGGAGGGTTGCGAGAATAGTGAGAGAAGATTGTGGTTAACACGAGATGGGTTTTTGCTGTAGTAAGCCACGTGCATAGGTGCATCAAAGTTCGTAGAAATCAGAGAAAAAGCTATTGCTTTGCTTAAGCCACAGAGTTTATATAGTAGTTAGTTAATGGCTGACCCGAGAAAGAGTGAAAAAGACACCCTTGTATAGCTAGCTTCCTCGTTTTTAAAGCGCGAAAGCGAAGACTTTTTTTTATTTTTTGATAGAGAAGAGCGAGTTTATGTCAATGCTCTATAAATTTTGCATTGGATCCTTCGCCCAAGTGTGTTTCTAAGTTTCCTACATTCTCTCTCTCTTCCTTCAAGAAACATTTCCATAGCTAAAATTCAAACAAGCTCAGAGACAGTCTCTAAAGGTGGCCATTTTATATGATTGTATTCTCAGCCACCACTACTACTGCACTCTAGCCATAGAGGATTAGTTGTTCTTCCTAGTTTGTTTTTGTTTCATTTTTTCTCTTTTCCCTACTAGCTAGCTAGATCACTATATATCTTCTTAAACCTAGCTAGCTAGGTTTCTCAAAATCTATCTTTAGATTTCAACTGGGTCTTGTCCTGTGTGTTTGCTTTAATTGATCAAGAGAGATCGTTCTGTCATGTTCTCGGAATTGAAATCTCGTTCGTTAATGGGTTTGCCCCAATCTGAGATGCTTTTCTCTGATCAGAAAGATCTGAATCCCATGGAATTCAATTTCCTTGTGAGATCCACATTAGAACTTGAAGACGACTGTAAAATTGTACCTCAAGGGCTTTATGAGGAAAAAGAAGTTGAAGAAGAAGAAAAGCAAGAAGATAAATGCAAGACATCGGTGCCTACTTTGAAGATAAAATTGCCGTCTGTAGAAGCATTCCAAATTGAAGAAGATAGCGATGATGATGGGTTCAAGACTCCGACTTCTTTGGATTGCAAAATTCCTGTCATTTTTCAATGTCCGCCTGCACCCAGAAAGCCTAAATCACTCCCATCAACCAAACGAAAATCGTCTCCACGGAGAGTCTTACTTGATCTGTCCAACGAGATTGGATCTTTGTTTCCTCCAGCTCTTGCTGCGGATCTTGTTGGCAAGATTAAGAAAGTTAGACAAGGCAATGACACCAAATAAATACGAGAGGTGCTATATATAATTATGTACCTCTGTGAAGTAAAAGTTATAGTTATACTTTTCTTAATTTCTTCCTTCTTCTTCATTTTTTTGTTTTGTTTCTTCATTTTCCAAAATCTTTTGACAGGTAAAACCATATCCAGGATGCTAGTATACATCATCAACGCTATAACTTAGATTCATTTAATGTCCTTCCTTAGGCAGGTTCATATTTCTTCTTTTCTAACCCCTCTTCCTTGGTTCTTGCCATATACGTATATATTCTGAATCTTTAACTTGTTATGTGCAAAAGATTAATGCCAAATTATAGCTAGCTTATGATGGATTTACTCGTACAGCTCATGATAAACTTATTCATAGGATTCTACTAATTTACTGGACCCCTCGAGTTATTTTATTTTATTTTTAACAAACCCAATTATACGTTGTTTCTTGAATATGGATTTTGTATCGGTTCAACAAAGAAGAAATAAAATTAATTAAAAAAAAACAAGAAGATGGGTTTGGGTATCCAGGATTTAATTTAATGGAAAACTAATGGATCTCTACCGCTCCACCTTTCTCCGGAACATGGATATAATTGCATTGACATTTTTTATAAGCGAATGATCTATGCGTTGACTTTCCCGACGGAAACAAATATGCTCAGCTCCATTTTGGTTGCCAGCCGGGTGAAGCAAACCCAAGTGATCATATCCCCTCATATGACAGAAAACAACAGAGATTCAGAGCAAAATTGGTTGATGCATGTCCTCAGCATCCAGTCTGCCTTTCAAAGTCCTACGGTCTTATTATCGCATGAGATGGCATATATATATACATATATATTATTTGAGCTGTTAGGGTAAGGGCCGAAGGCTTTGTCTGATGATATATAATCTAGCCCAATCAAGTTAGATATCATGACGTTTAAAATTGATTCATCTAAATTAAATCCAACTTTGAAATAATGTTTAAATTTGATTTGCTAGTTTTATTATCCAACTGGAGCTTGTTCATCACAAATATAAAAAATCAAATAATTGTTAATATTTTCAATATAATTTTTCTTTAATGACTAATTCTTTTTATTTTAATATGATGTTAGCGTTAATTTGAATGTTAAAAACCTTCCATACTTTATTTTGTGAGTATTTTATATTTACTTTACAGCCGATATATAATTCAATATTGTTTTCGAATAATACTTTTTAAACAATTATTAAAATTATATTTACGAGTCCAGCAATAGGTTGTTGAAGATTGTTCATAAAAATAATCTAGTTTTTAAAATTACAATCAAGTTTGGCTTCTTCTTTTTTTTCCTATTGAATAATACTGTTAGTTTGTCCTATAATAAGATAAACTGTGTAGTAGACAATGGTTTGGTTAAAATATTTACAATATGATCTGGAGTGGAAATAAACTTCACTTGCAAGCTCTCCCTTGCGACCATATTTTTGACAAAGTCGAAGTCTATTTCGACATGTTTTGTATGTGCATGAAAGATCAAATTGACTACTATATATATTGCTCATATATTATTACATTAGATGATGGACTTTGTGTGGATAGAAACCCCCAATTCATTCAGTAAGGAAGTTGCCCAAATAATTTCGATAGCCAAATTAACCATGGTTGTGCATTCTACTTTAGTAGAACTAAGGGCTACTCGTCTTATGCTTAGATGATCTCCAAGTTATGAGGTTTAGCCCAAGATTAACGGCATAGCCACTTGTGAATTTTTTATCATCTAAGGATTCGACCCAATCAAAGTCAAAGAAACCTATAAGACGGTGTGTATTTGAATATCCGATATGAAGCCCATGGCTCGCGGTTTGCTTAAGGTAACGCAATATGCATTTCACTATTATCCGATGATCTAAAGTGGGATTCGTGCATAAATTGACAAACCTTATTCACAACATAAGCAATGTTAGGCCTTGTCAAAGTGACATACTATAGGGCCCCTACTACCTAATGGTACAAGGTTAGATCCTCAAAGACCGGACTTTCATTCTTTTGTAATTTAGATGTTGTGGGCATAGGTGTTGCCACTAGTCGACGAGTTGTTCAACCCATGTTTAGTCAAAACCTCATTTATACATACCTTTGTTATGATAATAGAATTCCTTGTTTTGTTTTGATGACTTCCACACCTAAAAAGTAGTTGATGTCCCTAAAGTGTCTTGTGGCAAACTTAAAGTTCAAGGCAAAGATAACGAGATAGCACAAAAGAATGATTATTACGAGTTATTAAGATCTCATCCACGTATACTAATAGACAAACTCTATTATATGCCATATTATATACGAAGAGTGAAGAGTCGATCTTTGAAGCTTCAAACCCAAAAGTCAACGAAAAGAATGAAGATAAGATAACCATATATATGTCGATTGTTTCAATCCATATAAAGATTTATGTGGTCCGCATACATAGTTAGGTAACCGAGGATGCACAAAGCCTACGAGTTAAGCCATTAACACTGCTTCGGTCGATTGTTATTTAAAAAAGTGTTATTCACATGCAATATGTCGATATTCCATTCATAAAAAATTACTAAAGTGAGAACAACCCGAATAGTTGTTGGTGAATCACTAGGCTAAATGTCTCACCATAGTCGATCCCCTCTTACCGAGGATAGTTCCTAGCCACTAACTCCGGCTTTAAAACATTCAATGTTACCATATGCATTATTTCTTGGTTTTGAAAACCCATTAATCATCCATAATGTTCATATCTTGTGTAGGAGGGATAAAGACCAAATGCTTATTTTAAGGAGAGCATTGAATTCAAATGTCATGATAGAATACCATTTTGAATACTTTTGTAGCTTCAAAGTATGAGGTAGAATTTTCGAAACCTACAAGTTGGCTAGTGCCCAAGAGGTCGTAAGTGCAAGTAGTTTTCTTTAGGGCAATAGACCATAGGATGGGTCATAATCCGGTCGATAGGTTTGGCATGATGCATGATGAGGATTGTTGTGTTGTTAATGACTCAAGTTATATTCACTTAAATCCAAAACTAAATTGAGTCCAAAGATAGTGATGGTTTGAGTGGGACTCGGTGTTGGGATTTTTAGGAACTATGGGCGAGGGAGATTCTGTTGAGTCGTTGGGTTTGTGGTATGCTAGGAGTAGTTGGATTTAAGAAGTCGCTCTATGGTTGATTCACCACAATCCATTTTGAGCTCATTATCTACTTGGCATGCTCATCTAGGTCATACATTATTTAAAACAATGCAACAAGCACTTCGTCGGTCTAGCATCAATATGTCCGTCCGAGATTCAACATCTCTTTGTCATGCTTATAGTCTAAGAAAGATTCATAAGTTACCCTTTCCTAAGTCTTCTTTTTAAGCATTGAGTCTTTTAGATTTAATCGCTCTCGATTTTTTAAGCCCATCTCCTGTTCCGTCCATTAATGGCAATCGTTATTATGCGCTATTCTATGATCATTTTAGCAAATACTTTTGGGTCTCGCTTTATTAAATATAAATCTAAAGTTACCAATTGCTTTATTAAATTTAGACATGTTGTTGAAAATTTTTTTGATCGCTCAATTAAAGCATTTCAAGCCGATTGGGGAGGCGAATTTCAAAGCCTAGCTAAATATCTATATGACAATCGCATCACCCATCGTAACTCGTGTCCTAAAACTCTCGAACAAAATGATGTACCGAGCAAAAACATCTTCACATCATTGAAACGAGTCGTGATTTATTTCACCATGCCTCACTCCCCCATAAGTTTTGGGAACATGCCTTTGCTACTTGCAAGTATATTCCCTCATTTAGGAGCTAGATTGGGTATCGATTGAAATGGATAAGTGTAGTCAAATGGGCCCATTAGAAAAACTCGAGTGATGATGACTCGTAAAAACAATTGGGTTAGTAGAAAAGAGGACCCAAACTGGAATACTAGCCCACGAGTTATAGAAATTGAATTTGGAAATGGAATGATTTTGTTGGCGAGTCAACAAACGAAAAAAAATGGATTCAATAAAAAAGACATGATGAGCAATATAAAAGTAATTATTTTATTTTTCAAAACATCGATAGACCAAATGTGATGGGCTATACCTAAAAAAGATGCAAAGAGTGGACCGAATGCCCATTTTGTGTTTATTATATTGGCACGATAAAGGAAAGAGACAACAAAAAACTTGAAAAAATGAATAATTCAATTTTCTATTAAAAATAATTTCATACGGTGATGTATTATTAATAACGAGAAGATGACATCTTATTAATAAGAAAAATAGTAATTTCAAAAGTATGGTGCCAATATTTTCTAGAGACACTAACCTCACTTGATTAAGTAAAGCCTATTTTCACAATATGATGACGACGACTTTTTATAATGCCATTTTATTCATTCATATGAGAGCACATAATACGATGAATTATTCCATTTGATTTAAAAGATTTATGCAAACTCTTAAATTTTTCAGTCCAATCAATTTGGATTTGTTTTATCTAGCAAGTAAATAGTCTTTCTACCATTTTTTAAAATTCAAAAAAAAGTATTAAAACATTAGACTTTCTACGTAATGAATAATACCGGATGTACTTAGAAAAATAATTAATAAATGTAACATAATATTTAAAGACATCAATTGAATTAGAGGGCGAAGGGGTTTAAACATCACTAAAAATCAAATTTAAAACACCGAGTACTAATATTTTTCGTAAAGGTAAAGATAAGTGGCTTGTTTTTCCTAGTGGATAAGACAAGTAACAACTAGACAACTTAGCTAAATTTGATAAAAAAAAAAAAGACTTTTTAAAGTAATATTTTATACTTTGTTGTAGGAATGACCCGAGTCTTAAGTGCAAAATATTAGGAGAGACATAGACCGAATGAGCTTGACAATTTGGACTGATCGAAGAGGATGACAAAGTAGAAAGATCACCATCACTCCGGTCCGGAAAAAAAGTTTCTTATGTACCTAACCCTTTAGAGAAAAAACAAAAAGGGTGAAACTCCTAATAAATGTTATTATCACATGCAAGTCTTTG